ATTATCCAGGTTTGTTTCACAAGCCGATTTCGGTGTTTCAGTCTGTCCTTTGTGCCAAAGATAGTTGTGGGAGACGTTGCCAGGCATAACTTTTCATGGTTTTGCAGGTTTTAGGCTGTTCCACGATTTCGTAAACAAGGTAGATGTAGTTTTGCGAATGTTTGTGTCGCCTCGAAGCTAATTTTAGCCTTGTTTGTTCCCTTGCCAATCCGATGGCCTTGCCATGGGATGGACATTTGTAGCTTTGCAACGAGTCAATCCCACTACAATCCGGGAATGATCTGGCCACCATCCGTCGCTTGGTCGCCTTGATTCCGTTTTGAGCTTTGCTCTGTTCGATAAAAAGCTACCTTCCCATCATAATGTTGCCAATTTCAGTCTGAGTGAGTAGATCTCTAGTCAAAATACACAGATACGGAAAGGGTGGCTGCTCAGAGGACAGGTGCTTTTTTGGCCACTTCTGATTAACCGGTTCGACTACGGACCATTTCCCCTTGAAAGCTTGAAGCATGAAATGACATCCACAACATATACAAAAAAGGACGAACATTTCAAACCGTCCCGGCTGACGGCTGTGATCAGTAGGCCCTGACGGGCTTCTTGCAGATGTGCCTCTCCGAGCACGTGTCGAAGCAGCACTTGTCACTGGGGGCGCACTGTCCGTCGTGCGCGCACTTGGTGAAGAACACCTTGCGGGGGCAGAGTCCACGTACCACGGGGCAGTCGCCGCCGTGAATATCCCCTGCAGAAAACGTCAGTCGGTGGTCAGAGACTGATGAATGATGAGGGGAGGAGAGCCGGGAGTCGAAATCTGAGCCGAATGACAGCAGCAAGGCAGATAACTACAGGGCGGTGGAGAGTTTAATGGGTGTCGATCATACTGAGGCTCAACAATAAAATACTAAAAGATCCAGTATCCACATTCAGGCATTCTTCTTCGGGACAATGTGCGTGAATAATTTGTATCCGAATTCTAGCCACGTGCGTGTTACCGGGTAAGATTTCAAGAGAGATGTAAATGTTCCCCATAAACTTGCCCCTCAAGCCCCGGTCTCAGTAGTGCCAGCAACACTACTGTTAACGCCAGACCCCTTGAGACCCTAATTTTTCGCGATTACTTTTAAATGCGTGAAGGAATTTCAACCAAGCTCAGGACATGGCCGTTTCAAGACAGGCCGAAACTTTTACAATTTAGATATTTTATCGCCATTTCAATATTTCAGGCACTTGTCATTGACTCGTAATGTTAACTGTTTTTCCATCCTGGATAGAGGCTTTCTACGTCATATGACATTAGGCTCCGCCCACGACTGCGGCATTGACCCGTGCCCATCAGCGACCTCTGTACAAACGACACCCCTGCCATCTGTGAAGGACTATGAATTTCGCTGACGCTTCACGTGCTATGAGTCAATTGCAGCAGACGGTCAAGTAAATGTTAGGCTCTTGTTGACTCTTGTATATAGGACCAAGAGGACCATCACTCCTCAACCTACTACTCAGTCGTGCTTCGAACAAACGTTAACGATTCCTAACAAATACGATTTTCGATGTAGGGTAGGGTAAGGTGCCTAATTAGCGACCCTTTCCGATTTGCGACCTACCTCCCTACAGAACAACTGGCAGGAGAAAACGGGGTAAAAATATCGTCGAAAGGTCAGCCATACTTTGGTTATCAAATTAAATTATTTTCCGGTCGTCGATGTTTCTGGTGGGATGTTTCAGGTGAGTTTAAATAAAAATGACGAGTTTCTTATCCAAAACGTGTGTGTTTGGGCCCTCTCTGATGAAAAGCGATGCACATTAGGATGATGCACCTTTTTTATTCTGAATCGACGTTCCTTCTTCAATTGATTGCCGTTTTCCCATAGTGAATCGCTCAACTGTGCACAGCATGGCGGTTAAAAATGTGTCGCAACTCATATTTCCTATTTGCGCCTGACATGGTCGCAAATAGCTCAAGAAGGGAAAGAAAGGGGAAAAGAGAGAAATGAAAATGAGGTGTTGCTGAAGCTTGCAATGTGTGGCAGGGGATGCCAAATGTCGTCACCGACTGCAGGGGTGCCGAATTCAGCGCGGACCTCGAATATCATACGAGATAGCCCGCAAAATTTGGGTTTCCGCCTTCTTTTCGCCTTTCGGTGCATCACGTGATCAGTTTTTACTTCCGTAAATGTGTTGGATAAACGTTCCATGTTCGAGTGATTGAGTGCTTTGCGTATAGGTTACCTTTTTGAGATCATATTTCATCTTTTCAGGCGTCGCATTTTTTGCCATTTTTAATATGGAGAAACCCATAGACTTATTAGCGACCCTCCCCGGTCGCTAATCGGGAAGAGTTCCCTATTAGCGTTTTTTTTGCAATGGTTTGCCAAAATGCTCACTACAAATAAGTTAGTGAATATTGGGGCAGAAAATGACTATATTTTAATAGAAAAATGAACGGTCTCTCCGAAAATCAAGCCAGTAATACAGTGGCACCCACAGAGCGTGAGCAATGACGGTTCAAATTAAGGGGGTCGCTAATTAGGCACCTTACCCTATCTGTTTGAAATACGAGCGAGCCGTATGATGTGAAGCTCAGGCAATTAACTTATTATTGCGTTGTTTGATGGTTGCATAGCGATGTACAAATCGGCAGCTACTTGGTGACATCCGACATCCCATTATCGCATTATCTGCAACGCCATAGGCTTTAAATACAGGTGAATATTTCCTAACCTTATGTCAGTTATATGCCATCTGCCCGTCATATGCAGCTTATAAAAAAAAAAATCAGCGAACATATCAGCATTGTAGAAGCAATGCGCATTGAGCATTTATGATTCCTTAGTCATCATGTCGCTCTCTGGGCACTGTCAGCCAAGACGCTACGCACAACTCCGCCGGCTTTCGGCACCGCTCGACCGTCGCCCGTCCCCGCTCCCCGCCACAGCGAGAGTGACCGCGCGCCGGCCCGAAACCGCCGCAGGCCAAGACCACAGAGGCGGGGCTTAGCTGTGACGTCATAACGTATCACAGACTGACTGGTGATAGCCTCTACACACCAGATGAAAATCTTGCTCGAAATTTAACATTACGAGTCAATGACAAGTGCCTGAAATATTGAAATGGCGATAAAATATCTAAATTGTAAAAGTTTCGGCCTGTCTTGAAACGGCCATGTCCTGAGCTTGGTTGAAATTCCTTCACGCATTTAAAAGTAATCGCGAAAAATTAGGGTCTCAAGGGGTCTGGCGTTAACAGTAGGTCCGTTCTCCTCATCCCACCCAGCGATGCAAATGGACCACTCACACTCAGCCTCTGCGTTCGTGCCGTCGTCGCAGCAGTAGAGCGAGTCGCGATGCGGGTGGCGGCACAGGTACCGGCAGTTGGCACTGTCCGGAGTCTGGCCGGCGATCGGACGGTTGTTAATCACCTCCTGGTTCACTGCAGCGGACAGATAGGGACAAATGTTAGCCTCACGAAGAGAGAGAGAGAGAGAGAGAGAGAGAGAGAGAGAGAGAGAGAGAGAGAGAGAGAGAGAGAGAGAGAGAGAGAGAGAGAGAGAGAGAGAGAGAGAGAGAGGGAGGGAGAGAGAGAGAGAGAGAGAGAGAGAGAGAGAGAGAAAGAGAGAGAGAGAAAGAGAGAGAGAGAGAGAGAGAGAGAGAGAGAGAGAGAGAGAGAGAGAGAGAGAGAGAGAGAGAGAGAGAGAGAGAGAGAGAGAGAGAGAGAGAGAGAGAGAGAGAGAGAGAAGCGATGCAGTTTGTATGATTGTATGATGTATTGATCACCAACAGGTAAAAACCCAATGACAGGTGAAGTCAGTTACTTTCAGACTCTGAGCCTTTCATGAATACAGTCTCTGAAGAGCTCAGTAGACGACGATATCGCCCGCGGCCCACTGTTTAAAGTTGAACTCACCGATGCCGCCCGTCTCGTCATTTGTGTTGATGATGACGACGCCCTCATGGCCGGCCTGGACGTTGACCAGCGTGCCGTCGACGTTCTGCTGCAGCTGGCTGGAGTTGATGGTGACCTGGTTGTCGGAGCTCTGTCTGCCGCCACCTCCCCCACCCTCAGCCCTCTGCAGGCTCTCTATGGTGCCCTGGTTGACGGTGCTCTGTGTGGCTCCGCCGAGACCGGTCTGTTTCTGTACGGAGACGGCGCCCGCCTCGCCCCGGTTGGTCTGCTGGCCGTCACCGGCGGAGTTCTGCACACTGGTGGCGTGCGTCTCACCTGGGGACGATACTACAAATAATGAGAGAAGAAAAAAGGCCAATTAAAGTATCCTTGTTTAGCTCCCAACAGTAGGGGAAAGACAATTGTCCCCTATGCGTTTGTAAATGCGTGTGCGTATATCCGTAAACTGTACCCGGTATATGGGTACTTACCTAATAAAATGACTGAAGAAATACATGTCAAAAGAAATTATTCTCATGGAAGCAAAACAGAACAAGTAAACAAAAACATTTGTCGGTTTTTCCTGTCCGGTTTTCCCAGTTTCTGGTCGTGCTGTTCCTTGCCGCAATCCCTGTCGTACCGCCGTAACCGCAATGTTGCACGGTGCTCTGGCTCACCGAACTGCACGCTGCTGCCGACCGGTGGACCCGGTGGACGTCGACTGTCGGTAAAGGTGATGGCTGATTGACTCCGACCCGAGCTCCGTCTGCCGTAGTAGGATCCGGAGGTCACCAGAGACACGGCTAGCGCCGCCAGCAGGATCTGCAGAGCCGACTTCATCTGCCGATAAGAATACAGTTTTTTTAGTGATCAAGTAAAAGGACTATTATTAGCATTGCATTATATTTAACAAACACTTTCATTTATTGACTTCTAGCGACAGATATAGGGGAGAGCGGGGCCAGTTGAAACGCGGGGTCAGATGAAACATTGCTTTATTTTCAACAATATGCAACATATGGCGTTGCCGACACCACTGGGCATCCGCGCTCGACCACTTCCTTTGTCAACGGCGTTTGGGCGGCAAACGGAAGGTAATTTTGATTTGACACTTGTTTTTGTGTTTTTGAGGGGCGTTTGGGAGAAATCGTTTTTATGAATATTTTGTGATATCTCATATACCTTTGTTTGCTGAAAGAAGAACTCCTGGCTCCGGAATAACACCTTATTTGGCCCTTCATTCAGCATGATGCCGTCCCTCCAGCTCGTTTGACATGTGCTTTACGGCGCGTGCGAGATGGCGGGAGCGGATGGGGTCAATTGAAACGCTTCTCTGAGGGTCAGTTGAAACAGCGCCACAGGCCGTTTCAATGGACCCCGGTGACCTTTGCAATGGTTATTGTTCAGGGGCTGTAAACATTAAAGGAAATAGTCCAACTTTGAAACGAGCTTTTAAACTGAACTATTAGTTTAATAGATCTCAATTTTTGATCCCTTTTTCTCCAGCCTTTTGCTTGAAAGCACACTATAGCCTGAGATATTTCTCATTTTTCTCATCCGCCCATTTTACCATAGTCTATGTACTTTATGTCACCTATTATGAGGAACTTTTCACTTTTAGCTTTCCAACGACCTATTGAATGTAGCATTTGGAAAAGTAAACCGGACAAAATATCTCCTTAAGAAAGTGGCCTTAAAGAGGAAAACATCCCATTGTTAAGGATAGGTGCAATTGACCCCATGGGCTGGTTCAATTGACCCTCGCATCGGGGTCATTTGAAACGGGCGTAGAGCTGTTTTATAAGCATGCGTTTGGCAGCAAAATATGTTTGAAACATAATTTTACATATCTTAAAATAAAGCCAAAAGAGCATATTTTTTCATGGCGTTGTGCATTTTTCGATTTGACAGCTAGATCTCGCTGTGCATGTCAATATATAAAAAGTGGTTCAACTGGCCCCGCTCTCCCCTAGGTATGCAATCTAACCTAGCCAAGCTACAGAAACTAAACAGGACCCGTCAACTTTTGGTCAGACCACTAGCCCTTGTACGAAAACATTTATCTTTCCTGTTAGGCGAAACCCGGATTCATGTTAGCATTGCTTTTGACACATAGTCATGCCATGCCTCCCGGTGCAATATGTCCTCAACTCGACTTATTTACACGTCGCCCAGCCCACAGTGTGTTGTGCGGGCTGCCTAACCGACGGACGCACTGGGTAGTGCGGGTTGCCTACCCGACAGGCGCGCTGTGTAGTGCGGGTTGCCTACCCGACAGGCGCGCTGTGTAGTGCGGGTTGCCTACTGCCTAGCCGTCAGGGTCGTGGTGTTTTGCGGGTTGCCTACCCGTCAGGCGCGCTGTGTAGTGCGGGTTGCATAGCCGTCAGGCACGTGGAGTTTTACGGGTCGTATAGCCGTCAGGCGCGTGGAGTTTTGCGGGTCGCCTATGCCATCAAACGAGCTTTATTGTGCTGGAGTCCGGCAGCCGGCATGATAGCCGGCCTTCCGGCCTTATAATTTCGATAATTTCGATAGGCTATGGAAAAAAATGTTGTCTTAGACCTGCCCGTAACATATACTCACAGCTCAGTGCTCCCTATGCGGGTGTGCGTTGCCGTCTTCCGTTCCCGTCTGTGTGCACTGCGCACGTGCCTCGCGACCGTGTTCCGTCCGGCACTGATCCGATCTGTCACTGAGACCGTCGGGACGGAGGCACGGAATGTTATACCTGCCGCCGACGCTGCGGTGAGACAGTTTCCACCACGACCGCACGGAAAGGCCCACTCGGTCGGCTGGACCACGAGCCGGCCGCCCCGCAGTCCCCCGCGGAACGGAGGTTCTGACAGAGCGGAGAATGACAAACCGGTGCGCACTTAAACTGATGGGGACAGTGAGGGGGCTGTCCCATATCACAGGTTCAGGCTTAAGTCGGTAGTTGCGGTACTCTTGAGAATGCAATGCTGCACATATTGTACATTGTGCAACCGATGACATGGCGTTTTAACAAAATTGTCACGCAATCTCATAGTTTCTGTTTCCTGAAAGCGCATTGTTTTTATTCCTGAGTGTGGAACAATGTTGTTTGTGCATGAAGCATGCATCCAGTCTTCATGACTTAAATCAACACCAAGACATATAACTTAACACAAATCAGTATGATTCAACAAAGCCATCCAGTATATTGGCACAACACGATAAGGCCAAACAGCGCAAAATTACGGTCCCAGAATACATCGTTCGACATCCTGGCTCGAGCGACACGCTCGAGCCACGCATCACAAACACACGAGCACCGAGCACCGTTTCTCGCGGTTACAGGAAGGGGACCTGACAGACGTGGTGCCGCGCGCAGCCGTTGTAGCAGCACACTTCTTCCTCGGTGCACTGGCTGTCGAAGGCGCACTTGGTGTATGACGTCGTCTCGTCGTTCTCGCAGAGCTCGGGCATTTCCGGACACTCCCCGTCGTGATAGTCGGCTACGGGAACAGACGGAGACGTGATCAGTGAGATGGGAACTTTGGAAGGTGGAGTGAACTTATGCTATCATGAGAGAGAAAATTGCTTTTGATAACAAATGCATGGCCAGGCCACTAGTACCACCCATCGATACAAATAATGCAAGGACTTAAATGTGACACACCACTCGCCGAATTCTAGTAAGATATTCTGTGAACGCGCATACAAGTTGTGTAATTGATTATAGCTAATACTCACATGTTCCGAGGTCCTGATTGTTGCCGAAGTCGCAGCAGTAGAAGGTGCGCTCGATGCGCCTGAAGCAGAAGTAGCGGCACGTGGCGCTGTCGTCCGTCACCTCTCCCAGCGGGCGGTCGTTGATCACCGTCTGCTCCACTGCGGAGAAGAGAGGCACAGAGTAGGTATGTAGTTTGAGTAAGGCAGCGCTGCAGACTTTCAAGGCTGGTGAACCATTTGCTTCATCGGGATAGCATAATGCTAATGCTCGTAACATTTGATCACCGTTTAACATTTCAACGTCTACATAACATTTGGCAAACGTTTGATCACACATTTTCACCTATTCACGTCCAAACATTCCCGCATCCTCACGCTGTTTCAAACCAAAAACAACATATTTTCTCGAGCCACTCACCGATTGCTCCGGACTCGTCGTTGGTGTTGATGATGACCACGCCCTGGTGGCCCTCCTGGACGTGCACGAACGTGCCGTTGGCGTTCTCCTGCTCCTGGGTGGCCTGCACGTTCACCTGCGTGTTGGACGCCTGCTGGCCGTCGCCGGTGCCGTTCCCAGTCAGCTCCTGCAGCGTCTGGATCACGCCCTGGTTGCTGGTGATCTGGGAGGCGTTGGTCAGGCCGTCCTGCTCCTCGATGAAGAAGAGAGCGTCACCGGATACCTCCAGTTCGGCGTCAGACTCGCCTGTCGGTCAAACACAGATACAAACATTAGCGACTGACGGTCGTCGTGGGTGAGGCATGGAGTGCAGAAACTATAGAATGGTATTTGACCACAACTAGTTTTTTATCATCCGACATCTCCAGATTAGTGACAATTAGTATCACCTTGAACCTTCCAAAGATCTTACCGGGCCCGGCCAAATCATCAGCGTTGATGATGACGACTCCCTCGAGGCCGGTCTGGACGTTCACCAGCGTCCCGTTGACGTTCTGCTGCAGCTGACTGGAGTTGATGTTGATCTGGTTGTTGGAGATCTGCTCGGCGCCGCCGGCAGTGCCATTGGCCTGCTGTAGGGCCTGTATGACGGCCTGGTTGCTGATCTCCTGCACGTTACCTCCGGGCCCGCCGGTCTGTTCCCGCTGCAGGGACGCGGCCTGTGCCGAGCCCTGGTTGGTCTGCTGGCCCTCGCCGCCGGTGGAGCTCTGAACGCTGGTGGCGCTCGTCTCACCTGTAGGATAGACAGACGCGGGGCAGCTGCTGAATTCGGTTGACAGTGGCACCCTACTGGACTCTCAGTTGAAAGGAGGTGTCGGATAACGGAATTCATCGTTTTTGAAAGAGGATTAACATTTTACTGTTCTCATGTCCGACTTGCATGGCTACATTGTATCGTTTAATTCAACAATTTTACACGAAGCGAGATTTTATGTTATCACAATCAAGATTACACAACACACAGGCATGCTGGTTGAAAATTGAAATAAATAGGTATGTCTGCACCGAACTTCTACATATGTCATGCATCAGTTTTTTCATATTCACCAGCCTGGAAGTTGCCTCCACCTCTCCACATATTCTCGTCGAAGGTGATCGAAGACCCGCCGCCACCCTGGGAGTCCTGACTGGCGAGCGGCCCCGCGGTGGCCAGGGTCGCCGCCAGCACCAGCGTCAGACTCCGGAGCACCAGCTGCATCTGGAGAGAGCAGGACGGTGGGATAATGCTCACAGATCTGCGCTACGTTACTACTAAACTTAGACGGGCACCACCGGGATCTGCCATAGTCATGATCGGTATTATTATTTTTACTAGGCACATTTTTAGCGTAGTTTCAACGTAAAATATTCAATATCCTCAATCATATGGAATCAACAATAAACTAAGCGGGTAAGTATAATGCACTTACTTTGTGCGTGTGTAGACGTAGAGTGTGCGTTACCTTCTTCTGCCGTCCGTTTCCTTGTCTTTCCACGTGTCACGGTCCCCTGATCCTTCCAGTACCGGTCCAATGCGTCACTGAGACCGTCGACGGACCAGTGGCAGATGATATAGCCGACACGCTGCACTGCGCTGCTACGAGCGAGCCGAACCGAGTGTTTACTGTTGATCGGTAGGTCGCAGGGCTTGCCAGTGTTTATATTAACACGTGCCGATCTGCAGTGCAGGCGTCACTGACGTGCAGGGGCCGGAAAACCGATGTCATGGGCTGTGTGTCGCTGCTAAATGACCCTCCTTTGAGTAAAAGAGCAGCAAAGTTAAAAGGCACAAGCGAAGTTTAACCCTTAAACCCTTAAGCGCCAGCATGATTAAATCTTGATATCATATTATCTTCTTGTTTCTTTTTCTGTCTATCTGCTTGTCTGTTTGTTTGTCGGCTCTTTCCGTACCTATGTACATAGGTATATGTATTATAGAATAGGGTAAAAACAAATGACCCATTAAATGGAATCCGGCAATCGCTGGAAACGTTTGATTCCTCTGTGTTCATCGCCTAACAGTCTTCTGTTAAATATGTCTCATTGCGTGAAATTTATGACGTCTCATTTTGACGTCACATTCCACAAAACGCATGCTATGCATTGGATTCATCAAATGTAATGCATGGTGGCGATTGAACTGTGAGCTCTTCTACTGGGCGATTTGCGCTAACTGCGTCATACTCACGTCATTGGATTTGGATAATTTCTAAACACTGAAAACCCACAGTCTTGCTGCGAGTGTTGCACGACTGCTCTAGACGTAAACACTAGCCTCTCGTTGAGGGAGACTCAGCGGGGCCGGGTGTCGGCTATAACATCTACCCATGGTCCGACGGAGGCCTCAGTGGCAGATCGGAATAGTAACGAACGGACGCGCGACAGTGACACGTGAACGAACGGAACGGAAGACGGAAGACGGCAGAGCACGCATACAGACACAGTGAGTGACTGTTAAACCATTTATTTTCTCTACGCTTTCATTTTCGTCTTAATGATTTCTGTATACCGTTCACGTAACAATGCTGAAAATAGCGCATGCTTTCACAGATTTAAGTGCATAATGTTTAGAGTCATGCCTTACACTAAACCATTCCCAGTACAAACGATGCTGCAGCATTCAAGCTAATCACATAACGAAAGAAATAACACCGCAGCTACAGCGCCCTTTGTGGTATATTTACTTTATGGTCTTTCCGGTGTCATGATGTCAAAGAAAACAGTTAACACTTACCGCTGAACTAAAATCTAACATGACTCAATGCATAACTCTACTAAATTTACGTTTAGATGGGCTTTCGTCCTTACCCACTGGTGAGCTTAATCCATCGCTAATTGCTCGGTAGCTCTTGAACACGTTCTAGCCCTCATGCAACATGTGCCGCACGACACAGCGCGCCTGTCGGCTTTAGCCAACCCGCAAAACTCCGCGCGCCTGACGGCTAGGCAACCCGCACCACACAGCGCGCCTGACGGCTAGGCATCCCGCACTACACAGCGCGCCTGATGGCTATGCAACCCGCACTACACAGCGTGCCTGACGGCTATGCAACCCGCACCACACAGCGCGCCTGACGGCTAGGCAGCCCGCACTACACAGCGCGCCTGATGGCTAGGCAACCCGCATAACACACAGCGCGCATGTCGGGTAGACGGCTCGCACAGAACGCGACTGAGTGAATGCGCCTGCCAAACGGAATATTGGATTTGATTTGCCCAAAAGCCGTGTGTTGCTTTGTTCAGATTTCATCCCTGTGCTGTTGGGCTGTTGGCTGCAGGCCTGAATGCATTCAAGCGTGAAATGAACGGGAAGATACCTAGTGTATGAAAGGTAACCACCGTGCAGAAACGTGTTTAGGACTACTCGAATGTTCAAGCACTTGCTCTAGGTGACATATTAACCATGTGGGCTGTCTGGTCGCAACGGTTCTCGTCCAGAGCATCGACATTCGGGGTGGTATGACTAAAGGGGCAGCGGTGAAAATCTCGTGTGATTGAATTCGTATGTGCGAATGTTTATCATTTTTGAGCGATGCATGATGTATTGTATAACTATTCTATTTTAATATTCTAATTGAGTCGTTTACGTGTTCCTATGACAGCACCACGCCCCGTCCCCTTCCCACAGATGCGGCTGGTGCTCCGAAGCTTGGCGCTGGTGCTGGTGGTGACTCTGGCCGCTGCGGGGCCGCTCGCCAGTCAGGACTCTCAGGGTAGCAGCGGGGCCAACATCGTCTTCGGCAGCCGGCGGCAGGGCGAGGGCGTAGGGACCAGCTCCCAGTTCGGTGAGCACAGGCGAGAAAGAAGCGAGAGCTCGTGTTTACCATTAGTTCGTAAATGAGGTCAATAAATCTTTTATAGCACAACACAGTGCGTAATCGTACGAGTGCCTATATTTTGCGTAGAATGTTGGTACTGAAACTCAGTTTTAAACAATTTTTTTTTCCAAAATATTTTAGCAAAACTAAGCAGCTTAGTCCACTTTCTCTTCGACCCAATCTGTACTTAAATGCATCGGATCTATTCTTTTGACTCAAGCTTTCTTTGAAGCTCTATGTATGTAACGTTCGTCCTCATGGCTGGACTAATAGCGTCATTATCGTTCCCAGGTGAGACGCACGCCACCAGTGTTCAGAACTCCACCGGTGACGGCCAGCAGACCAACCGGGGAGAGACGGGCGCCGTCTCCGTACAGAAACAGACTGGTCTCGGCGGAGCCACGCAGGCCACTAACAACCAGGGCGCCGTCCAGGCCCTGCAGACCACCGGCACCGGCAGCAGCGACGGCAGCAGCGACGGCAGCGACAGCGGGAGTGGAGGAACCGGTCGGCAGGTGTCCAACAACCAGGTCAACATCGTCTCCAGCCAGCAGCAGCAGAACGTCGAGGGCTCGCTCATCAACGTCCAGGGTGGAAACAAGGGAGTCGTGATGGTTAACAGAAAGAAGCCGGGCCAAGCCAGAGGTAAGCAATGCCTCGGGATGAATATTTAATGATCGTTATGAGCTTTTCGTTCCTTTTGGCGCTAGAGAGATAACTTAGCTGTAAACAACAACGAGAGTAACAAATACGTGCGCTTACATTTTAATGGGCTGAGTTGACATTTTCAACAGTTGATTGAATCGCGGAAGAATACATATAGGGGTGTTCGTACATGAATGATAATAGGTATGCACGTATTGGTGTAAACCATATATACGAGTATACGGCCTGATACCAGTTATTTCACGTGTCGGTTGTTTTCAGCTTTGGGAATGGGAGGCTCCATTCAGATGCCTGACGCTCACCAGACATCCCGTGACAACACCCTCCTCCAAATAATGGATAACAACGAGATCATCCTCGTCATAACCGCCAATAAAACCGAAAGTAAGGACAGAGTAATTATGATCGATTTTTAGTAAATCCCACGCAGCCGGATCTATAGAACTAAATACCCGAAAGTCATCGATATCTATCAACTTACTTTGCGATGTACACTACCCTATCAGGGTGTTGCAGATAAATTGGGACTAAGTTCATGACCTTACAAAAAATTTGGTATGCGGAGCAGCATGATCGAAATTTGACACAATATAATTTCAACAATTGTTTTTCATTTGATATTGAAATTTTAATCCTAACATATCACGCAGTCATGGAGCAGTGTCGGAGGGAAACGATTGGTGAGTTAGTTCGCGCCGGACAGAGCGCGAAGGACATGATAAGTTTAACTGGGTACCCAAAGTCTACCGTGTACCGAACTATCGCGACTGTAGGAGCTGGAGGGGATGTCGCTCGACGTTCTCACACACCTCGCAGTGACCGAAAACGGACACCAACATTCCTGAGCGGCTTGAAACGCTCGATACAGGCCAAAACGAGGACCTCGATGAACAAGCTTGCGCGTGCCCGTCACGTGAGCAAGAGCACCATCAGCAGAGCCGTGAGAGAGGACCTCGGGATGAAGTATTTTACCAGAAAACGACGAAGCCTCCTGACCGAACCAGCAAGAGCGATACGAAGGGAGAGGGCACCGAAGGTCCTCAATCTCCTCAAGCACCTCGGGAGTGACGTCAGAGTATTTGTCGATGAGAAAAAGTTCATCGTAGAAGAGGTCGCCAACCGCAGGAACTCGCGGGCTATCGCCTACAGCCCTGATGAAGTGGCTCCCGTGATGAAAGGCAAAAATCCGGGATCAGTAATGGTGTTCGGGGCCGTCGCAAGTGATGGCCGCATAATGCCGCCCCATTTCATGCCTGCTGGTGTGATGATCGACACTGACGCGTATTTGACCATCCTGAAGAAGTCTCTCATCCCCTGGATGATGAAATACTATGACTTGAGCAAAGTCATGCTGGTGCAAGACTCCGCCCCAGCACATGCTTCAAAGAGGGTACAAGATTTCCTGAGCCAGAGGATCCCCCTATATGTACCCAAGGACATATGGCCCTCCAACTCGCCTGACTTGAATCCATGCGACTTTTGGATGTGGGGCGTGGTAGAACAAAAGTCCAACTCGACCACTCCTGCCAACGTTTCTGACCTGAAGAAGGCCATCAGGAGGCAGTCAGCACCATTGACCAGGACGAGGCCCGGCGCGCGTGCTCCGCTTTCCGGCGCCGTCTCGAGAGGGTGCGGGACGCCGACGGCGGTCACATCGAGTGAAAAGGCTGTGCGTACATGACACAATACACGTGCGAAGTTTCAACTTTCTGTGTTTTAATTCACCGTATTTATAGCATGTTGAAATTAGGTCTTAAAATTCCCAATTTACCTGCAACACCCTGTACATATATTGATAAATCTGTTGTGTTCAGTTCAACCGGTATCTTATTCGTTAAGCCGTTAAAAGGAATTACAGGCTTTTAGTACTGAGCATATCATTTTAATGATAAAACGGAAAATAATGCAAAAAAAAACTCGTGTAAGTTGCACTCAACACAAGCGCATGGAACGGAAAGTAAAGTCTAACTTTGCGCCACCTTAGCACATCTCCTACGCCTCTGACGGCCCTCTGTGTGACCGTTCCAGAGATCGTGCAGCCTGAGCCGATACCGGAGGGTCCGAGCTGCCGGTATTTCTGCATCCGGCCCACCACCAATGAGCCCTACTGCTGCGACGACGGCACCAACAGGGCTGGGGACCGTAAGTAGAAACATGCATGATAAAATAATATACACGAGCAATAAGTGTGCATTAGATGCAAAGTAAATCAATGACCTGCAAGAAAAAAGACAGCCCAAATGTTTGGAAGATAAAATGCCGTGATTAAATGCGTACGTGTAAAATACTTATCGGCAACGTTTCTCCCGCCAATCAGTAATGTAGCATTTTAGGTCTCTCCCGTAATGTGCCGTAAGGCCAAACTCTCTTTGGCCTACCTGAGGTTTCTAACCACCCTCTCTCCCTCCTCCACAGCGTCAATTCACGGCGGCAAGTGTCCCCGTCTGCGTCTGCTCTGCATCAGATTCTCCTTCTTCAACAAGTGCGCGCACGACGGCCAGTGCGCGGCCAGTGACAAGTGCTGCTACGACGCCTGCATCGACATGCACATCTGCAAGAGGGCCGACCCCATCTAAACTCTGCTTCAACTGTGAATAGATGGTCGGACGTGCCTTACTGGGAACCTTTGCCTCAGTGATTCGTCCGCGGCTGCATGTGTGCGTCTGCCGGTCAAGCTCGCTGGCGAAATGATTGATATAACTACAACGCATTTAGTTGTGACTGCAATAAATTTAGCGCTGATTCCTTTAAAAAGTTTACCAAAATACTCGTAAATTTTGGTTTACACATCAAAGTACGTCATATAATACTTGAATTAACAAGGTCAATAAAGTGGCATTTAACTATCGAAAGTAATGATCGATCGAAGCAATTTAGTGCAACCATGATGCTGGCCATTACTTTATCAATTCCACGCATGACAGACCTGTAGTCAAGTTATTGTACGGTTGACTAACGGCGAAAAAGGTGAGACATTTCAAAGCCCTCAGTCACAAGCAGCGCCCCCTCGCAGATGACCAGCTAGCGAAGCCGAGAAAGCTACGCCCATTGCCCAGCTCAATCAGCTAAGCCATCCACTAGATAAAGTACGGAGCACCACCTTTTGTGCTGAAGCTAACTATTTCTGATTTGTTTTAGAAGCTATGAGAATCTGCCTCACTCCGAAGCCTAACTACCTGTCTAAGCGTAAGCGCATCATTCGACAGTTTTTGTGACAAATAGGTACTCCATTTGTTATGCGCGTTCAGTTACTAAGAAAAATAATAATTAAAAAACGGTCGTGTATTATTTTTATCACACTGAGTTGTACAAAAAAACGACACACCCGTCAGATCCAACAGCCCCATCCAACACCTGGTCCTTCCAGGCCACGGCGCCCGCGCCATCACGCGCCGATCATGCCATACAGCAGTTTGATCTCTCGCCGGTAGATGTCGTCGTCGACGTACGGAGTCTCGAGCACTATCGGTAGCCGCTGGAAGCGCGGGTCGGCCAGCACACGCATTATACCGGCCTTTCCGATGGTGCCCTTGCCGATATTCTCGTGACGGTCCTTGTGACTTCCGACAAGACCTAAAATCAGACAAAAAGTCATATGACAGGTCAGTTGACTGGTCAGATGACAGGAGAGCACAGCAGACAATGGGAAGGACGAGAGACGAAGTCAGGGTCAGTGCTGCAAGTGTCAGTGTTGCAAGAAAATAACCCTGCGGGGCAATTTGGCCGCTTTGCATACCTTTGTAAAACGTAAAAAATCAGGCATAAGTAGTTGCTCTATCATTTTCAGTTTACTGTACCAGAAAGTAAAATGAATGCTACACCTGCCAGCGTTGAGGAGAGTGCAGAAATATGTCGCCAGTTTCGAGCAACAGCGCTTCCTAAAAAAGCGGCCAATTTACCCCATCCTCCCCTACTTGAGGTGACCTCCCCGGTCCCACCGCTCACTCTAACCCCTCCCCTTCTCCAACGGAGGACCGATCCGCGGCCTCTCCGATCCAGAGGCGGTATTTCGCCGGCACCGTCATAGTCAGGTGCCTCTCGCTGTCCAATAGCCGGCCCACATACATCAGTGCAGGGGCCATAAATTACCAACAACCGATCAGCAACGGCAGAGAAGGGGGAGGGGAGAGGAAACGGGCGGGAGACGGCAGGACGGGGAGCAGGCTGGGCTGCTCTCGCTGAATTACTTCAAACGGCCTCTCATGAGTCTGACTAATGTCTCCGATCAGACGGCCGTGATCGGACCAGCGCGGCGGCCGGCCCGCTGAATGATTGCGAGTGCTTTTGAGCTACTGCCCCAACTATCTTAGCAGCTTTCTCGCCTTCGCTCATCTGATTGGCTCAGGAGTTGCCATAGGCCGCGTAATTTCTATGCTGGCCAGTCATGCTTCGCGATTGACCATTCCGTTACTAAGGCCTACGGAGGAATATCTTTAGAGACTGACGTCACTACTATCAGAAAGGGGCATCACTAACGTCACCATTCGTTTGATTGAGCTACTCACTTTTCGAGTCATTGAGGTGGACGGCGCGGAGTCTGTTCAGGCCCAGGACGGACTCAAAGTCAGCCATCAGCGTGCTGAAACCGGCCTCGGTCGATAGGTCGTACCCTGTGGTCAGGGGAGATGGGTCAGCCTCCGGGCACAACGGAGAGAGGGGAGGGAGAGAGGGAGGGGAGGGGGAGAGAGAGGGGGAGGGGGAGGGGGAGGAAGAGGGAGATGGAGAGGGAGAGGGAGAGGGAAGAGGGACAGGAGAGGAAGGAGGGAGAGGGGAAGTAAGACGGAGGAGAGATGGGCGTTACATAGCACACCGCGTAGAGACTAAAGCATACGTATGTACACATACCCAAAACTTATTAAAAAAAGTTTGCAGTTTACGGATCAAAAGAGCCAGTAGAGTCAAAGTCAGCGGCAACAGTGTAAGTTTGAACCATGTAAATGTAACGAGTAGTTACTTCGTGGAGACTTGGCGCAACTTTTATAAAACTAAGTAAGCATGAATTTATATCAATGAAACTTTATATTTCTCTTTCACATTGGTATTAACCCTATTCCTGGCGGGGGGGGCCTCAGGAGCCCCCCCCCTGAGGTTTTTTGGTTATATCTCCCAAACGCGTTGAGCTAGGAAGCTCAAATTTTCTGACTTTTCCTAAAAGGCTTCTACGCAACATGTCTGAAAATTTTGAGTTGATCTGACCTCAGGTCAGGTCACCAGAGGCGGTTTGGTGACGCTACCTCAGAAAAGTTTGCAATCACGCCAGAGCTAGAGTTTTTGACCGATCAATTTCTTCTCTTCAGGGTTTAGTTAGGATACCAGTATGTGCAATTTGTATATCTCGGAATTTTGATATCGGTGACCTAAGGTCAGGTCAATTTCGCGACCTCCCCAATTATAAGTCAATGGGGGAAAAATCAACTCCCTGTTTTTACCACTAAAACGGGTCGGAATGGCCCCATATACCATACATGACTTCATATACGATCAACCTTCACTACCTTGAGGTCTGTTTTGCTGTTGGGCAGCTGTGAGGTCATGTGACGTCATCAAAGGTCACCAAAGGTTTTTGGCCAATAACTCCGTACAGGAATAAGATACAGACGCGTGGATGGTCTCATTGTGTTCAGCTCGTCAAGACGCATCGAATGATATACATGATGACCTCGAGGTCACGTGACCTGAGGTCAACCTTTGACCTTGACCTTTCGAGGTCAACATATATATCATTCGATGCGGATTGACGAGAGGATCACGATGATGCCCTTAGTTTGTTCCTATCTTGACTAATTCGAAAGTTATTCGAGAAAAACTCTCTCCATATCTAGTGCCGCCATTTTGACTTTTTCGACCCCTGTGACGTCATCTTTGACCTGACCTGAAAATGACCTTAGTAAAAATTGTAGATCTTGGCCGTGCGTATCCGATGCCGTTTACCGCTTGTCGCTATCTTGCTTCGTTCTCGAGATCTCAGGGGGGGGGGGCCGAATCGGCCCCCCCCGCCAGTTTCTTGTCCCGGCGGAGCCCGCCAGGAATAGGGTTAAATAAAGAATATAATTTTCTGGTGCAAAAATATTTTCGCGTGATACCAAGGCAAGCAGTAAAATCTCATTTTATTATTTGGGAAAAATATAACTATAGTGTTTCTGGGGACCCTCGGCTAACAAACACCCGAACATTCAGCGTCACATATACAGACAGAAGCACCGCCTGCTCAGCATTACATTTGGGGTTTACAGTCACAGTCGAAACTAAAATGTGTGTCCAACGTGCCAATTACGGATGGTACATCAACACAAAAGGCTTCCAAATTGCTGTGTGTTAGTGTACTAGTTATACTGTAAAACACACCCATGTTCTTTCATTCATCAGCATAAATGAAAAAAGAGTAAACGTTTTGCGAGTGAGAGAATATTCAGTTCCGTGAATGCCGCTCCACGTAAAATTTGTATGAATTTCTTTCCATCTCAGCTGTCAACAGCACGCTACATAGGCATGATTAGTGTCAGAAGGCCGATTTATTACGGCTCACTATTACGCCGGCTCCTGACACCTCTGATTTACACTAACAAGGCTCCAATGAAATGCTTCATAACTCAAAGATAACTTTCGACACAACTTCAGAAGGACCCGACATGTTTGCTATCTCAACTAACATGCCTATTGGCATCACTTGCAACAAGGCCAAAGTTTGACATGTCTTTACTGAGTTGTTCAAGTACGCCGTCAACACAGCGTGGTACGGAGCGCAGTAGGGTAAGTCGCAAGGTACGCCAACGAGCCAAACTGTACAACACAGTACAGGGTGTCTCAAAAGTTCGCTTACAGGTACCAGCCATGCTTTTTTGTCAATAATTCTGAATCAACATGAAATTAACAGTCGAAATTTTGCATGGGCATTGGTAACAACCTTCCTCAAGCAGCTTCATTGTTTTCAAGCGCATTCGACCCTTCATGAGCACACAAAAAGGGTTCACCTCTGACCATGGATCAGGCATGAAAATGGAGGTCGCATACTCGGGTCGGCTGAGAAACTCTCTGCTTCACGAGTAATGGGAATGGTTAGGTCGGAAATGACACATGGCAAAGTGTCGGCGATGATGAGTACAACATGATGGTCATCTAATAAAAACGGTGGCTAAAATTTTTGAAGGACAAAACCATGCGAGACTAACAGCGCTTTGAACGACCCTTGTACCGCAGCAGACTCGTGCTCCGGAAAGCAGCTGAAAATGCAGTCCTAACTATTGAAAAATGACTAGAAGCTCACAGACAGAGGTTACCCAGTTTCAAAAATTGCAGGTCATTATAAAATAAAGACAAAATATCATTTAAAATTGTTTATAATATCTATAACGCTAAATTTTGAGGGAAAATAATGCGAAAATCGTCAATGCCGAGGACAAGTGACCCTCCAAAAGTGTCAATTATTGTAAAGTTTTATCTAACGAAGTTTCAAGAGGCAGATCTCGAGCAAATAGCTTTCTTTTACACACAAAATCCGGACAAAACCGCACGATGGACAGGTTTTGGCCGTTTACAAAGCAGAACCTCTCCTGAGGAAAACACTCCGGAACCCAGCGAAGGTCTTGGCATTGGGAATGACGAGCGTTCGGGATTTGCAAATTTTGCAAAATGTGTCTAAGAAACAGATGGCCGACACATTCTGCTACGATATGCTGCGAAAAATTTGCCCCTGGCACTTCCCATTTGTTCAGGAATGGGGTTGTTTTGAAAAGGAAAATGGTGCTTGGGAGGTCGGCGCCAGTCATTCATGAAGGAGTTAGCGCCAGAGAAGACCTACAAAATACTCACGGATGGTGTCGATGCAAGCTTTCGGCTTTCAGGGAGAAGCGGATGTTGCCGGGGAGCTCGTCAAACCTAAATCCGACGCAGAAACTGCGGGGAATTCCCCTACAAGAGCTTGAAAGCTGGTAACCTTTTATCAGCCTCCGGCAGCTGACGGAGTGACGAAAATCGGTATGGGCAAATATTTTTGGAGATACAGCAAAGGGTTTGGTTTCCAACCTTCCGAATCAGTTGTCAAAGATGCATATTTGTCTAGTGTACACACGGACACCAAAACCTTAGATTTTTGACCGGTTCTTATATGCTTTATTGACATGGGAAATGTGTAAACGAACTTTTGAGACACCCTGTACACGGTTCGATCCGGTGCGGTACGCAGTACGCTCCAGTGCAGCTATCACAGTGCAAGGAACACGGTACACCTTACCACACGTCACAACAGTCCGGTACGACACGGTAAACGCTACCAAACGGCACGGCACGTTGCCCTACAGCAGACTCGTCGATCGGCGGCCGACTCGCCGTCGTTTGGCGCTCGCAGCCGTCAGGAGCGGCGTCTCATTAGAGCCGCCGGCCGATTTATAGCCGCGAGTCGACCGACCGACCGACCGCCTCGAGCGGGGCACGGAAGGAACAGCGGCAGGGGCGACCCCCGGGAAATCGGCACCGTGAGTCCACACCAACCGGCGGGAGAGTCCTCGCTGACCAAAGAGTCTCCGTGCCCGCTGACAGGGACTCCCCTTCATGCGACATGCAGATCCGTCACAGAGATAGAAATTTGCCACGGGGCCAGGCGATCGATATTTGCGCCATTTCATGGTGAGAGGACAACAACTACACGAATTAAACACCACCCTTGGGTCTGAGAAAGCGGCGCCCCACAGTGATGACACTGGAGCAGGCCGGTCGACGCAAACAAGCCCCGCAGCTGACTGGGAGGATAGGGGGAGATGGACAGAATCGCTCACCTGCCGCGTGGGCGTGACACGTGTCCAGACAGACTCCGATCCGGTCCTGGTCCTCCACCAGGTCGATGATAGCCCGCAGCTCGCGCAGGTCACCGCCCAGTGTGTTGCCCTGCAGAAAATTAGGTGAGGTCAGGCAATCGTTCATCGTATTATCCTTAAAATGATTTAATCAGATGTGCTTGATTTACTCAACTTAATTAGGATGCTACATCAAGATTTGATAAGGCCAAATCAGAGACCAGTGATAGACCAGGGCCCCTCATGTGTCCCCATTTTCTTCTCGTTCTATACCGGAATCGGACTCATTGATATCAATCATCATACTTGAAGTGAAAGTACAGCAAAAATAAAAATATTAGAGAAAGTTCACGTCGTTTAGCAAGAACCTAAAAGCCGCCATAAGACGCGGGTGGATGGTCCACCAGGGTCAGCATCGGATCCCGTTCAAAGTGCGGCATTCCTAATCGCCGACCGCCTGTTACAAAATGGCCAAAGTTATGTGCCGCCGTTTCAGCTATCCGGATGCGTACCGTCTGACCCCTCTGTGGGCCCCAATAGCGCACGGTTGACGACCCTGGCCCGGTGCCGAACGGCCCCTTAAAATCGGCGTCCAGGAGACCTACCGTAAACCAGAGCAACTTTGGTCCATCGGTGCAACTTTGGTCCACCATGGAAAAGATACTTTGCTGATTTTTTAAAAAATCCATCGTAATATTTGGGACATTTTTTCATGCAGGCAATTTAGCCCAATATGTGCCCTAACTATGTGTGAACAGACCTGCTTTTGTTATGTGACCTTGACAGCAGCAGAATTTTTATAATAAAAGCCTTGATTTTGGCGTAAAAAACAGAAGTTGCTAGGATGATGTAAGGAGCGGAACTGGTAAGAACTGGAGCGACACTGGCTATCTAGACAGTAAGTACATGAGTTCTCCAAAGGCTTAGAGGAAGAAAACCCCCATTTTCTTTTTATGGTCATTTTTTTAGGGGTGGTGGTCAAAGTTGCAAGCACTTTTTCCGTCAAAATGCTACAACTTTGGTCCACCAGGAAATCATTCTTAGGAAGCTTCTCATCACTATAGCATACTTTTTTTCGTCATTTATGACAGTCAATGCTGGAAGTTATTGATGTTAATAGTCGATTGGTTATGCTGCTGCGTCTATATTTCATTTTTAGCCCTCCAAATCCAGATTATTTCCCAGCCTGTTGTATTCCATACCAATCCAATATGATTTTTCCTGTTTCAGGTCCGAGTTGTGCCATAAGATACGAAAATCCGTGCCATGGAGCAGTTTGATAATAGGTTTAAGTGGCCTAGGCATGATGATATTCTTACCTACTCATTCAGCGATGTCATCCGCAAGCTCCAGCCTCCCATCCGGTTGGCACCCGTGGACAATTCACCTTCATTTGTTAGAGAACTGTCAAGTGACTTCTGAAGGTGCTGAGTTTTGTGGTTCTTACTCAGCTGCTCATTTAAAAGCCAGAGTGCTCATGTGATTTTACTCCATCCAAAGCCCGGAACAGCCGTTCACTGTGAATCTGTTGCCCCATTGTAAACCAGTGTTTCTGTGATTGTTTTCAGCCAGTTGAAGTCCTGGTGTGTCAGGATATTTTTTAAAAGAACTTATGTGGACCAAAGATGCTCTGTAAAATACCATTTTATCCGTTAGCATTGAATAAAATAGGATTATAATCAGTGGTACAAAGTTGTAAAACCCCTCTACAACTTTGACCACTTGTTCAATAAAAAAAATAAAATAACTCAAGATGCTAGCATTCTTTGACTCTAGAGCAAACTGTTGACAAAGGTTGTAGCTTCCACCTTGCAAAAAAACTAGCCAGATTGGACAACAATTAAAAAAGATATTCAACAAAAACCTAAAAAGTGGTACAAAGTTGCTCTGGTTTACGGTACCGTATTGTGGTCGCAAGGCCGGTTAAGCTAACAGTTATGCCAGCAGTGTGTGCCAAGAGGCAAACAATGGAACGTCCGGGGGACTGAGAGCCTCCGGTACCAGCACGTTCCAGCGGAGCAGGGTGTATGTGAACCAGGGTAAGGCGGAGGTGACGGAACATTGCCGGGGTATGAAGCCGACCCGTCCCGGAGGATCGGCGCGCCGCGAAACCATCTCTGCGGGATGACGGGGCGTCTACCAACAGAGCTGACGGGTTTCAAGAAGCGGAGCCGATGGACAGTGACAAAACATCGGGCGAGGTTTCATAGAAAAAAGGTGCAATTCTGCTGCAGAGTGCAGATCATAGATTACCACTCACCAACCCTGAACGGATCGTCAGAAACTACATAAATTGACCGTTGTTGGTGCCGAAAAGGCGAGGAAAATAAAGAAGATAGCACAACTGTCTGCAGTTTATCAATAAAACAGATCTTGCTATTTCGCCTGGGTTGTGATGAATCCCCAGAATAACAAACCGGCTCTATCATCGATCAGAATGGCTAACCATGCATAATATCTCTAGCAGAATCTTAATGCTATCATCACTTGCCAGGCCAATCGTCAAAACATCGCCGTCATAGCCAAGTGATTCGTGGAAGATAAAGCTGGTCAGTTCATTGTGGCTGATATATGGCCCGGTCTCGCCATCCACCCCCTCTAGCGGAAGGAGTCCGAACTAGGTCACTGCGGCCAGAGCCGGGTAGGTAGAGCGACGCTATTGCAGCCCACACGCGATTTTTCTACTGAGGCGGCTTTGTCTCGACCTGTACTGGGGGATATCAGATCGGATCGGGCTGGCTTTTTAGAGGAAAGTGGAGCCGCGGACACGGATTGGCCTGCATGCAAGGTGAACCCAACAGAGGCGAGCCCAGCGAACTTAGCCGGGAGGTGTTGGACACACAGTCTCGGGAGGGCTGCTCTGCTCATTACGTTCAAGCCAGATGCGCATGAAGCTACCAGCATCACCCAGCAGATATGAATCGGGGCGTCCGTTCAGCACTCGACACCAACTTTGACATCTATAAATCCCAACACCAGGCGTCGACACCTGCATTTGCGCAGCAAAACAAAGTTTCCGGCATGATGCGGCCGGCCGTGGCCACTACTTTCCACACATTCCGTGTCCTATAAGAAACAGGGAAAGAGGCCAAAACCTGGCCACGTCATGATGATTCTATGGGAGGAAAACTCGTCATAAATCCACCGCCACATAACGTAACTCCTTTGTACAAGACCCAGAGACTTCACCACGACCTGCGCTAAAATGGTCGATGGGGATTCGGGAGAGTGTTTTCCAAGGGACGTGGTGTCCTCGACATATCGATGGAGCAGGCAATCGAAATATCGATACGGTCACAATCGATGGGCGTCAAAATGTATGCTGTTTTTCCTTCCCCTTGGTCGGTGTGCTTTCTCAGACCTAGGGACCATTGAAAACGAATTTTAGAGGGGGTTAGGAGAAAAGACGGTTAATTGATCAGCCACGGAAAAAACGGCAGGGAAAAGAACCAAAAGAAGAGGAATGTTAAAGGGTCGTGATAATGGATGAACAAATTCCTGTTAATGCACCTCATAAAAAGTGTTCCATAAATTGCGATCGTAATATGAGCCGAAATAATTGCGTTCATGAGACACCAGCTAAGGACTTCACTGGGTGGTACTCCATTATCAGTTTGGAACCTTCTCCGGGAGCGCCATAAATTGTGGGATAAGCGTAAATCCCGACACCCTCCGATGGTATATGGTTTCTGAGAGCGAAAAATGGCGCCGCAGTTACATTGTTCTATCGAGTGTCTCTGACCTATCGCTGCCAGGAATTTATACCTCAAGTTCGAGGCCAGGCCCGAGCCAATTTTTCGCGCACCGAATCTGAAAATCAGTGGGACCGTGTTTCTTCGTCGACATGGCTGGCCTGTCCCGATGGCGGGCTGGGTGGCTATTTTTACACCGATATCGGAGTCTGTGACCCACCAACTGACCACAGGAGACACAGAAACCATATGGTAGGTGGGCGAACCGAGACACACCATTTACCAGCCGGGGAGAGACGGGACATCTCTCCCGTCCAGACACGGGCCTGTTCACATCGCTGGTCCTTCAGGCCAGGAAGCAACGCTCCACAAACGCAATGGGTGGCTGGACGAGCCTGACGTAGGATAATAAATTTACGTAAGGGTGGGGCGGAGGAGATCCGGAACTGATCGATCAACTTTAGACTGCAGTCGCACTGCAGTCCTGAATTCCAGTATCAGTCGGAGAGTAGGGAATGGTGGGGAGGCTCGAGAACTCGGTCTATCTTGCTATCCCATGCGTCTCCCGCCCTCCCATGAACCGTTCCTCTGATTGGTGCAGCTCTGACTGTAGAAATGATTGGCGACAAGCGGCATCCGGCACCCAGCGCCGATCGGGGTCGCCTGTTATATGAAATGATATCGCAACCATCTCATGAATCTTGATATCCGTCACAAATATATATCGCAAGTCGACCGACGTATTCCTCTGAGGAAATCTGTCAGCCAGTATCAAAGTTAGCGCGAACGTGGGCGTTCACTTATGAATAGTAAAAATGAAACGAAACGGAAGGTGAAATAAATTACTAACTTGTACGCATATCGCTGATTCACATAAGCACGCTTCATTGCTACAAGAAGTTTCGCGAAACTGACGAAAGTGATTTAGACCCTAAACATTGGACGCCCATGCCCACTTTACCATCGCCGCACGCATTTTAGGCACTGCACCTATCTCACAGATCACACAGCTGCAGTCCATAGCGAGCGGGTGCGTGGCCCGCAAACTCACGCAGGTTTGCGTGAGCCGCCCAGCACCTGCGCCGCTCCCCAGCCTGCGCTCGGTAAGGTGAGCTCCCGGGCGGGCGGAGAGGTGGAGCCCCGTACTCTTATCAGCCCCACCCACCTCCGCCCACTGCTGCTCGTGCCGACAAGGGCGTCTTGTCCGTATTAACCCCGCTGGACAAAGATCCAGCTCCACGAATCAGAGGGATATGGACACGCGGCTCACTGTATTAGCCTCACGCACGGCGCACCACCAGGCGCGGGACTGTAACAAATCCTCCCCTGAGTGCATAATCCTAGTGCTCACACAGGGGCACCTGAACAGGGGATCAGTGATTATACTTGAGAGTCGGGTGTTCAGAGTAGAGTGCTCCGAGTCCCTGGCAGAGACTTGTGTACGAGAACGAGACGTTTCAAGGCCAGCTGCGAACTCTGCCGCCGTTATTGCATGGATGAAGGTAGGATATCACAACAGCTGAGCCGTTTAGTGTGCAGCAACCACAAAGCCATGAAGAAAATAAGATTTCACCGCTAATCCGTTAGCTGCATCCGAGATACGAAATCCATGAACACTGCACAAAGCAACATTTATTTCAGCTTGATGACATCTTTGTGAACGTCTGCATAGAAAAATCCGTGACAGGGAAACACATGTTAACATTTTTTGTTTGGCACATCCACATGTTTTGCCATGATATCGAAACCTGTAATCTTTCGGGGTCTGTGAAGCGTGTGTTTTTTTCTTGCTAAGGGGTATCTGACCTTTCATCGCGGGTCCACTTGCTCTCTGGAGGTGGAAAGTCCACCTGTTTCCACTGGTACACATTTTTTTTATCGGACACCTGCCTTGTCCCAGCACACGAATGAAAGACGGTTGCTCCATTCCATAATAACTCCTTAATTAACTAATTCCGCTACGTTAGCAGACCGAGATGAAAAAAACAAATAGATCAGCCACTGTACCTATCAGTCACCATCAGTTACGCAGATGTGAGATGATCTAAAAGTGACCATAAGCGCACCTCCCAATTTTAGGAACAAAATAGTCCAGATCATAGTAACAAAGAAGTGACTTGAAAACGACACACAGTCTGTGACGCCACGGCGGTATGGATGCCCTCAAACCTGACGGTGACTGACTTGACGTGACCTCACAGCACCTGACTCCGTGATCTTATAGCGACTGACCTGGCGTGACATATTCTCCAGCAGCACTGTGACCCCGCTGGTCACACTGAGGGCGTCGTTGATGCCCCGAGCGATGTGGGCGACGCTCTCGTCTCGGCTGATTTTTCCGCACGTTGAGCCTGCCAACAAAAGACCATCCGACCAATGACGTCAGAAACCACACACTAGTGACGTCATTAATTCAGCCCCGTGACATTTGTGGGCGGCGCCCGAAGTTCGCACTCGCTTCCCCGGTCGGAACCGCAGATAGACCTGGGACAATTACTTCGACACAATTCATCATTGCGAGATGAGTTTCGTAACCTGACAGGCTCATCTCCGGGGGCTGGTTTAACGAGAGCACGACCAACTTTGCGAACTACCGAACAGTAAAAATTCACCAGAGTTGAGCCAACTACGATAAGCGATTATGATGTAGCAGTCAAAAGGCAGGAACTAGTGAATGAGGCTCATTATCCCCATAGTCATATTCAGGTGCGTTCGACGATTTAGAATAGGATTATAAAAGTCATCAACTTAAATAATAAAATAGCATTTTACTACTTCCATATAAAATAACACCGAGTATCAGCGCGTCCAAGTTTTCCGCCGGCATATATTTCAGACTTACACACCATTTTTCGCATAATCCATCTCATCATTGGAGACCCATCAGCTCGCCAGACCGTCACATTACAGCCCACTATCTTGTCCGAACCCCGGTGGGTGCCGGCCGGCTGCGACAGCCAGAAAATAGCTGCCCCGGCCGCGTCTCCGTGGCCGTGTATACCCGTCTGTCCGCCGCCGATCGGCGCGATACCACAGACCGTGGGACACCTCTGCAGGTCGCCGACACAGCCACCTTTGCCGGTCGCCGACACGCCTGACGCTGCTGTTCCGGGGAAACCAGTCGCGCTGACACAGACCCGGAAAACCGGCCAGCCTACACCGCTGTACGGGACTGAACGGCGCACAGTGGGAACGGGAGGGACGGGGCGAGGGGCACTGTCCTGCTGCAGAAGGAAAGGCTGTGGAGGGGACCCAGGGGGCATTGTCCTATTGCAGTAGGAGCAAGGCAACAGAGCTGAGCAGCGGACGACAAAGGTGAAAAATGTGCGAGCTACTCGATGGCACTTACACTCTTGCACGATGCACACTTGTAAGATAAAACTCAATTCACCTATTTCGAAATACTTGTTTTCAAAGCTTTGCCCTCAGTTTTTCAATCGCACAATATGCGAGCCTAAGACAAGCACTGCTGTATTTTCACCTATACATGAAAATGAGCGCCAGCGTGAATTCATTTTGAGAGCACGTTTCTGCGGTATCTAACTGGCTGATTGATTTCATTTATTTACTGTTCAGCAGTGGCCTCGTTTGAATAGTTTCCTTCATCTCTAAGTATATGTTCAAGGGAGTTTGGAGGCCCTCTCGGCTTACGGATACATACTTGCTGATGTTCGGAGATCGCCCGCTTACTCTCATCTCAAACCAATGCTGTAGTGGGATGCACTTTGCACACTTTATCTCAATACGGTCTCGACATTAACTTTAGGCTTTGACCTATCAGAATAATATGTCTGTAGAAGAGACCCAGGCCGCGTGCTCTTGACAGCCCTCGCCGATGGGCAATGAACCGCGATCAATACTCGAAGAATTTATTCTCAGGGAAAATGGCAAAACGGAGAAATCAAAGTTGGCAACCACACAAGAATAATGACAAAGATCAAACGCTCAACGGTTTTACAGCAGCAAACACGAGCAGACAATCGGCCGACCTTTGTCAGAAGTGGCGGTAAAATGCAGCCGCTGGAAACTAGACAGCAACTGGGCGGCGTGTGAGCTTTACAGACTGGGCTGCAGAAATCGTGAGACTTCAAAATAGCCTGCTGTCGAGCAGAGTTGGCATTTTTGCCGGCAAAAACTAGTTTATGCCATTTGCCGGTTTAAACCGGTTTTAACCGGCAAAAAGTGGCAAAAACTGGCAAAAACTAAAAACCAGCACAATGATATGCCTAGACATGGATTTAAAGATGAAACATTTTTAGGAGAATTCGGTGAAAGCTTTATGCTTTCAACCAGAAGTGACATTGACCGTTGAAGTGTTCTATAACTCAAAAACATTTTCATGGGCTTTCCATAAGGCGCCTTTTGGGGGTGACAAATGAGCCAGTGCAAGAGTGAGTCCTGCACAATCAGAAGTGCGAAGGGGTATCTGCCATGCGCACTGCACCCTACCGTGGCAGCCTTGCCCCACTCCCCTACATGGAAATACATTCTGTGGTGGATGCCTACTGACATGCATAGACATTTTAAGCAGGGATAAGTAATGAGGCAAACTTCAGAATGTTTGGTGCATCTCTATAACATCAAGAAATGCATTTGTACATTTCAGATCCATTCCTAACTAGAAAAGTTGTGGTTTGGCCCACCTGAGTTTTATCCAGTTTTTGCCAGTTTTTGCCACCGGGGTTTCTGCCAGCCGGTTTAAACCGGTTAAAACCACTGGCAAAAACCAGTTTTTGCCACCCCCTGCCAACGCTGCTGTCGAGCCTACAGATAGTTAGCAAACGAACATGCGCGTCACGCCCCAGCCAGCAATTCGTCCGGGATGCGGTTGGGGACGGTCGGGATAGGCTCCGGATGTCCCGACTTGTCCCTACCGGGTTGGGTAGGCTTGGGTTGTCCCAATCGATACCGGACCTCAGAGGCCGGCGGTAGGGGTGACTCGGGATTTCCGGACCGCATGCTTAATCGGTTGGGACGCGATACGGATAGCCCAATCGAATCCCATCCCATGTTTCGAATCCCATGTTTAGACAGGCTTGTGATTTACGTTGTTATCCCAACCGATCTGAGAAGGCCCTTCGGGCACCATATCCGGTGGCCCAGAAAGCCTGGAAAAGCAATCAGATGGGCCGCGTGCAGGCAGACGCGTCCTCTGAGCGCAGCGGCCAGTCTCGTTGCCGCGTTGGTCAAGTGTCTATCCCTCCTGTAGCAAGAACGGTCGCGTTACTTTACATTGAATCGTATTTCGACGTAATTCGCGGAGTAAATCAACTTAAAGTTCATTTAGCCATTTATGTAGTGAATCACCGTATTATCATCACAGCAATCTCACCCCATCCCCCACTTCCACCCTCATTCACAGCCATCCATTGACCTAAATACATTTCCCATACAAATCCCGCGCAGTATCCCAGCGGGCTCCTTCACCGGACAGTAACAGACGTAAACTGTAACATTCTCCCCCCGGTGAAATGACAATTTCACTCAATCCGTTCCGATAGAACACAGTGGCATGTGCTGACCGGCATCCTTGTAGGAGTCTCCTCAATCCTGAGGCCTAGCCGCACTCCAAACGATGCAGCCTCTGTACAGGCCGCGTTGATGTAGTGCCGTCTGCCCTTCGCAGGGTCGCGACTCGTGTCAGTCCATCTCTGCCTGGATGAAGCTCAACTATCCTTCCCATTGGCCAGAGTGATCGGGACTGATACGGATTTTCTCTGATGATTACCAGATCTCCGATAGCTGGATTGCTTCTTTCTTCTCGGGGAGGAATCCGCAGCTCTCGCAAATATTCTGTGTGCCACCTTTTCCATAAATGAGCGAGAACCTCACGACAATGTATCCAGCGCTTCCTGAGCACTCGGCTCTGGCTCTCAGGCTCAATCAAACCCGGGACATCGGGCTCGTCCAGTGCAGGGACTTGTAGAAAGTCCCTTGGAGACAGTGACCGAAGGTCATCAATGTCCTCACTCAACGCCGATAGCGGTCTTGCATTTATTGCACCTTCTATGCGGCACAGCAGAGTTTGCAGATCTTCAAATGAGAGCATACTCTTATGAAGCGTTCTGCGCAGAGCCTCTTTCGTTGTGCGCACGAGTCGCTCATAAAAACCTCCCCACCATGGAGCTCGGGGTGCGTTGAATTTCCAGGTTACTCCGGAATGAGCGAGGTGTGCTGCTGCGCCCTTGAAGTTTGTTGCGTTGTCACTTGTCACCGTTTTCGGCATTCCTCTTCGTGCGGCGAATCGATCGAAAGCTTGTAAGAAGTCCCTTGTAGAGAGGCCTTTAACCAGCTCTATGTGAACGGCTCTCACTACCGCACACGTAAAAATGACAAAGTATGTCTTGACGATGTTGCCGCCGTCTTTGGCGAAGATAGGTCCTCCGAGGTCCACTCCGAGCTGTGAGAAGGGGGTTCCGCTAGACGCTCTCTCTCTTGGAAGGGGAGCTGTTTCTTGCGTGAACGGCTCTGCATGGAAAATACGGCACCTTGGGCATGCTCGTATAACCTTGCGAATCGTTTGTCGGCCTTTTGGTATCCAAAACCTGTCACGGATGGAGTACATCGTTTGCTGCACTCCCGCATGACATAGTTCCACGTGTCGCTCTTGGATCAGCAGCCGAACGTAGTGATCATCATTCGGCAGCAGGATCGGATGTTTTTCGTCTTCGTTCAACTTCGATTCTTGTAGTCGTCCCCTCGCCCGGAGGATTCCGTTCTCCAGATATGGGTTTAGCTCGTAGATGTGTGATGTCCGAGGTACGGCCTGATCTGCTATCAATACTTCCCGTTCTGGTCCGTATGCTGTTTTCTGTGTTTCCAGTATCCACAGTTCTTCTGCTCGGTTGAGCTCTTCTGCAGTCAGATCGCCCGTTGTCGACGGCTCCGTCTTCCGGGTATTGGCCAGGAATCGCAGCATCCAAGCTGTCACCCGGTGCAGCCGTTTACGCGAACTGTAGTTCTCTGCAGACATAAGTGATCCGACACCTGGTTCCTGGCTCGCGGAGGAACACATGGTGATCACGGGCCCACTTTTCCGCTCCTCCGCTCTGCACTCGCTGGGTTCGTAGGCACGCTGAGGAGGCCATTCTTCCCTTTCTTCTCGGAGCCAGCTGGGTCCCTCTTGCCAGAAAGGCTCGCCAAGCTTGTCTGCGGATGCTCCTCTGGACGGCAGATCGGCTGGGTTACACTCGCCTGGGCAATGCCTCCACTTTGCTGGTGGAAACATTTGCTGGACCTCAGTTACCCGGTTGCTGACAAACGCCCCCCAGCGGCCAGGATCACTTCGGATCCAGGCCAGCGCCACAGCAGAATCAGTCCATAGAAGGACGTCCTGAGGTTTGGAGGGCAG